CATAATATATAAAGACATTATGACAGAAGATGGCAACATGAAAACGAAGATGGAATTAGAGCAGCAGGACAGGAATCTGGAATGGTGGCTATATTTACAGATTCGAAATAGGTTTAAAAGCGATAAGGAACTGTTTGGGATCTACCCAAACCTTCAGGAGTTGGATAGGATTTTGTTTGGCGGAGATAAGACTTTAGATTTTCATTTAAGATGTTTCTCTTTTCATTCAAGAAGCTTCTTCAGAAAGAGCTTCTTGGATGAGAAGCAAAACGTGTTCGAGGAAAAACAAAGCTCAGTTGCATTTTGAAAAACACCTTAAGAGACAGCCATGACACATATGACTCCATATACTTGGGAGATGTTACAAGGCTAATTATGTCTTATATTAGCATTTGAAAGATTGGGAAAGTAACAAACATAGACTTAATTTCCATAGTTTGACATGAGACAGTACCCAGTTATATTTTTTCCTATGAAGCAGATTGGATATATCAAAAGCCTTTAGATAGCTCCAAATGGATGAGGTATAATTTGTTTTGGACATGATTTGTCCAAATTTGGGTTTGGTGATACTTTATCTAAAGACCAAATTTCCATCTTAGAGCTCATCCTGGATTTGGCATGGGCAGTTGAGAAGTCTTCATAACAAGTGGCATTTTTAACCAATGTTAACAAATAAGAGCGCTTCTATTGGTTAAAAATGTGGCAATTACAAGATTAGACTACTCTAATTTAGTTTTCATGTTTGGCTCATTGAAAACTACAGCTGGCTCAGAGTGCAGTGGAAAAGTGAATGAAAACAGGGGGCTGTGTGTATTGCCCAAAAGGCATACCCATATGCCCCCCCTTTGAGTGATTTTTTAAAAATCTTTGATACTGGACATTAAAATAGTGTAAAGAAAAGCAATTGAGTTGTGACTTACATGAAAATTTCAGTATTTATCAGTTTCATAAATTAGTTGCTGCATACGTTTATCTTTTGTCACTTAGTTTAGTTGTTTAACCTGATGCTACTAAACTTAGTAGAGCTAAAAGGCTTTTGAACCTTTTTTGTAAGCAAAGAGTTTCAGATCTACAGATTAACAGAGTTGGAAGGGACTTTGTAGATCATCTAGTCCAGGGATCCGCAACTTTAAACACTGAAAAAGTCATTTAGACCTGTTTTCCACAAAAAACACCAGGAGCCGCAAAACTTCAACTCAATAGCACTCCCACTCAGTCACATGACCACCACCCTCCCAGCCATGACTACCCATGTTTTGTGGCCCTTGGTGCTTTCTGTGGGAAATGGGTCTCTCTCTCTCTCTCTTTCCCTTTCTTCTCTTTCAGTCTCTCTCCCTTCACTCATTTGGTTCCCTTTTCCATCTCTCTCATTCTCTCCTTTCAGCTCTCTCTCTTCTCATTTGTTTCCCTCTCTTTTCCCCCTCTCTCGTTCTGTCCCTCCATCATTTTCAGCGTCACTCAGCTGGAGGAGTAAAGAAGCTCAGGGCAGTGGGAAAAGGGGGCTGAACTTGCCAAACCTTGCACACCCACCCTAGGGATCAGGCTTAGAGGAAGCCAGAGTGCTCTCGCCAAAGATGCTTGCCTGTCAGCTGGTCAACTTGCCCGCTCCATGTGCCTTCACTGCACTTTGGCTGAGCTTGGCCACTCACTTGAGAGTATCCTCATTTGTGTGTGCCCTCCTGGCTCCACAACAGCTGGGTCATGTGAGGACGAGGGTCATGAAGACTTCCAGTTGACATTGTGGTGATATCGGACGTGAGGAGCGAGTTCTCCATATTAGAAAGCTCTGAAAGGAGCTAAAGCCGCCCTGGAGGAGTGGTGAAGAGTGGTGCCCTGCTGGTTGCGGAGGGTCGCAATCTCTCCTGCTTGTTTCAGGGTTTTTTTCCACCTCTCCTTCATGACAAGAAGAGGCAGCCATTTTTGAACAGCCAAGGCAACAAAGAAAACACACAAATGGTGTAAATGAACAGTGAATCAAACTGGGTGAGATGATTCCTTTTTTACTCAAAATCTAACCTAAAAAGAAAAGAGGGGAAAAAATCTGAGAGACTCATAACTATTAAAGCGGCAAATAATCACATAGAGAAAAACTATAGACCCAAAAGAAAAGAAGAGAGAAAAAGTTACAAATTTCAAAGCACAGAAAATTGGATGGTTAAACTTGGATTTAATAGCTGGTAGAACTGAGACAATGTTGAAACCTAAGCTGAGAGCACCATCTATTGATGACCCTACATACTCTACCACCCTGGGAAAATTTTTGATTAAAAAGTAAACATTGATTTGAAGAACTCTGGTGAGATTTACTCTTCTATACTTATCTACCTTATGACTATGGGAGGAGGTTCAACTGTGAGAGCAACAAAGATACCTAAGTAAAGCAATTTTTGAATGCTATTAAACTTATAGAGGGGACATAAGGAAATATTTGGGGTTTCCTGGACTACCTGAATGTCTGATTGAATAACCCTGGGATATAAAAGAACTGTGACTATAGTATTCTTTAAGGACCAATATTAGGCCTGAACATATGGTTGTTGAACTATTGAGTAACAGTGGACCTTATTAAAATAAGACAAGATGCTCCATATGGGAGAAATGAGTGGAAGTGCAAAAGAAATAGTGTTGATGTTCAAAGGCATTAAGGACTCTATGATAAAGAACTTTAGGGAGATAAACAATTTAATGCAAAACATAGATGTAAAAAATAGAAAATATTCTACAAGGGACAATGAATAAAGACCAAGATGCCCAGGAGAGGGAGGAGACAATGGAAAGAATGGAGGAAAAGACAGAACAGAAATCAACAAGCAAAACAAAAAAATAAGATAATAAAGAACATAATGATTAATGAAACAAATTAGAGGGGGGGAGTATCTTAAAGAGATTTAAAAATGGAATGGGAAGATACCATTGAAAAGAGATGTCGGTTTGGGCAGATACCCTAGAGGCATGGCAGTATAAGAGGATAGAGATGGGAGGAATACTTAGGCTAAACAGCAAAAATTCAGAGATAGATAGAGGCAAAGATCCAAGAGAATGGGAGGTTTGCCAAAAAAACAAAAAGAATTGAAATATTAAAATGGACAAGAGATGATAGATAGAAAGGAAATGTTATTTCTTGGGAGAGGGGGGTTTCTCCTTTTTTCTTTAATATAATGGGGGCCTGATTAAAAGTTAAAATAGAAGTAGAAATAAAAAATATACATATTATAAAAGTAATACTGTGTTTCTCAGAAAATAAGACCAAGTCTTATTTTCTTTTAAACTTGAAAATAAGCATTTGGGCCTATTTTCGAGGCAGTCTTGCTTTTTTTGAGATGCATCAGGCCAGACTCGGTGAGCTGGATGTGCCATGGATGCACTGACGCCTCCATTCTGAACCTTCAACATTTGGAATGGAGGCTTTTTGGAAAACTGGGGAAAATGGGATGGGGGATTTTCCTGCCTGCCACCATTTTCTCAATCTGTGCTGAGCTTGAGGAATGGATAACAGGCAGGAAAATCCTCCTCCCCTGCCAGCTTCAGGGAAGCAGCCCAACAAGCAGAAGCACTGTGGAAAGAGAAGGGCAAAAGCAGTATTTGTACTGCCCCAAGGGGCCAACGGGCTGCAGCTGCAGCCAGACAGTTTCACGCCCATGCTGCCATTCATGCTGGCCACACCCATCCCCAATCTTATTTTCGGGGTAGGGGTAATATTAGGCCCATCCCAAAAAAAATTCGGGTTGGGCTTATTATTAGGATGGGTTGTGTTTTTGGAGAAACATGGTAAATAGATGGAATATTAGAGGTTGAAAGATGGATTTAATATGTTTAAATAATATGGTTGATGTCAGGCTGGAATAAGGGAATTAGATTTTAATACAGTATATATGCTAGGATTAGTAAGGATGGCCTTATTAAATAGAATAATTGAAAGAAATAAATGGAAAGATTAAAGGTTGAAAGATAGTATTATTATGTGTGCTTAAATAATGTAATTGGCATTAGAATAATACATTGAAATATTGAATAATAATGAAGGTTTATATCTTAATACAAATACGAATATTAATACTAGGAGTATGTAAGCTTAATTAATGTAACAAATATTGTTTTTTGTAGTTATTTGTATTAAAATAGATGATACCCAGATGCCACACTGCTCATGTATTGATGTTGATGTGTGTGTGTGTGTGTGTGTATTTCTGACAGATGGCAGTCCTCTCCCTTTGTGAAAGCTTCCAGTGATGAAGCTCCCACAAATTCTGAAGGCAAGCTGTTCCATCAGTTGATTGTTCTCGCTGTCAGAAAATTTCTCCTTATTTCCAGGTTGAATCTCTCCTTGTTCAGTTTCTATCTATTATTCCTTGTCTGGCTTTCAGGTGCTTTGGAAAATAGCTTGACCCCCCTCCTCTCAGTGGTAGCCTTTCAAATATTTGAACAGTGCTATCATGTCTCCCCGGGTCCTTCTCTTTACTAGGCTAGTCATGCTCACTTCCTGCAACCGTTCATCATGTTTTAGCCTCCAGTCCCCTAATCATCTTGGTTGCTCTTCTTTGCACTCTTTCTAAAGTCTCAACATTTTTTTTATAGTATGGTGACCAAAATTGGATGCAGTATTCTACATGTGGTCTTACTAAGACTTTATAGAGTGGTATTAGTACCTCACTTCATCTTGATTGTATTCCTATTAATGCAATTTAGGATTGCACTGGCTTTTTTGGCTGCCATCACACACTGTTGGCTTGTATTTAATTGGTTGCCCACTAAGACTCCAAGGTCTCTTTCACAGTTACTGCTATTAAGCCTGGTTTCACCCAGTCTATATATGTACTTTTGGTTTTTCTTGCCTGTGTAATACTTTACTTTGCTCTACGTTGAATTTCATTTAGTTCAGTTGAATTGTGGACCTTATTTCAATAAAAAAGCTGCAACCAAGTATTTTGTGGTATTATGATATATTTAGATGCTACATTGGTTTTCTCAAACCTAACTGTTTTGTCTCTCTTTTTTAGTTAAGAACAGCATTGGATAGAATAGAAGAGATGGAGATGACCAACAGTCACTTAGTGAAACGGTTAGAGAAAATGAAGGCAAATCGAACTGCACTACTATCTCAACAATAGAAAGGAAACTAAAGAATGCACTGCTCCTTGAAATGCTTGAGCTTATTTTAATACAGACTTTCCTTGGCATAAATTTGAAAAAAGCTATTCATTGTCTTTTAGTTTCATAATTAAGTGGCAAATATTTTAACTTGAGTAAATGGGAAAAACCACTTAAATCTTTGTCGGTGATGAGTTTTAACAGCTTAATTCAAAAATCTGATTGAACCCAATATTTATGGTTGATTTACTTTATATAAACTACTGTTTTCACACTTGTGAAATCAGGTTTATTCTCTGAATTAGTTTCAACTGCTTTAATGCTTGGTGCTTGGAAAGAGATGCACAAATTCAAGTGTATGTTGCACAACAAGCTAGCCAATTACATGCTCAACATCAAATGGCACAAGTGCCTTTAATATGGTGCAATGAGTACTTAAGATATTAGAACAAAATATAATATGGAAATCAAATACCATTTATTTTAAAATACAATTGGAGTCTTGTTTGCTAAATTTTATACATTTTGATGGAAAACACTTTTGTACAATATTTAAATTTATATAAAAATAGAAATGACTGTATAAAATCTGCTTTATTGCATGGTGATGCACACTTGAGATTTCAATTTTAAACAGAACCATCCCTATTCTTAATGTAAGAATAGTGAGCAAGATTTGTTACTGTACAGTGTGTAAAACGTGATATGTGTGATGCTTAAGTGTGGAGTGAAATGTGGGTGGGAGAAATGTGGCAGGTACAAACCTATTAAATGGACACTTTGCATAGCATGGGTGTGTCTTGTCTTAATGTTCTCTAACATTTTTATTGTTTAGCTTTTTAATGTGCTAATTCTAAGAATGTTTATCCTCCATATAACTCAAAACATTACAGACTAAAAATGTTTCAGTTACTTATTTTGAATAATAAACTTGACAGGATATAATTAAGTAAGTAAAAGCTGTATTAACAGAAGCTGTTTATATTCATTGATACTAATAAAAAGTTGCTAATTTCTAGGTAGTCCTCGACTTACAATAGTTTGTTTAGTGACCATTCAAAGTTACAATGGCACTGACAAAAGTGACTTATGACCATATTTCATATGACCATGGTCACAGGCTTAAAATTAAGATGCTTGGCAACGGATTTGTTTTTATGACGGTTGCAGTGTCTCAGGATCATGTGATCACCCTTTGCAACTCCTTGACAAGCAAAGTCAATGGACAAGCCAGATTGACTTACTTAACCATATGGTCATAAGTCAAGGACTACCTTTATCGCCATTTAAAATTTGAATGATCCTTTATATGTAAGGGTGCTCTAATAATCTATTCCCAAACTACCTGCCAGCAGAAATACTAAAATAGGATCAAGTAGAAAAGAGAATTCTGGTCTTCCATATTTTTCCAATTCATCAGTTGTATCGTTCATTAATAGTAGGATGAGAATTTAAATATTCTTCACATTTTTGGTTATAAACAGAAATCTGTGAGTTTAATTAAGTTTTCTTTATTTGCTCACTGTACAATATGTGGATATTGTAAAAAGTTGAACAACAGTGGATTAGTTTTCTAACCATACAATAGCCATTTTTATGCAGATATTTATGCAGTAATATTCAATAACTGATTAAAGATTATAATGATGAGAAAGAAAATATATTAAATAATTCTAGATTAAATATTTGTATTTAGCATCTCTCAAAAACTTTGTACAAGTCAGGTAGATTAGCAAGTTGTAAAACATTGCCATCTTCTCTAAAATTTGCAGGAGGTAAAAGGTATGACCGAAAAGCTTTGTAGAGTGTATGTTCCACTGTCCATTTCCATGATCTCAGACATTTTCCAGATTCTTCAACCTGTAAAAGCAGTGTTAATATCTCAGAGTTCGTAGCGAAGTTTAAAACATGCATTATTGAATAACAATATGCCTTTTTAGATTCCAAGTTGACAATTCAATTTGTAAGTCATTATAATAATATAACAATAATCAGAGATATGCCTAAGTGTCTAACAGTTAATTTGTTCAATCTCTTTTCAGTTTTCAATTCTTTATCATTTTTAGAATAATTATACATTCGTTAACAAATAATCCATGCAAAAATGAACATTTTGTAAGTTTTCCCTGTCAAGTGTTGCCTATACTGTGATACAAATGAATGACAAATGCAAGGATAGGTTTGTTTTTTACTTTACGTAACAGTTTGAGCAAAGACTGACTAAAATTCCCATAAAGTCTAATATCTGGTTGTTTTTAGTACTGCAGCCCATAAATCTTTTGCCGCCAGGGTCCGGTTCCACAGATTGAGGTTTTTCCATGGACCAGAGAAGGATGTGGTTTCATGTGCTGCCTACATCCTGTGTGTGCACAGATGTGGCTTTCTTTGTTTCTCTTTGGTTTCTGGTGCACCCTGGACCAGTCATGGTCCACAGCCTGAGCATCTCAGCTTCAGTATACGGGTAGTTTTCAACTTGTAACATTTAGTGACTGTTCAAAGTTACAAAGCACTGAAAAAAGTGATTATTACCATTTTTCACACTTATAAACATGACAACATCCCTGTCATCATGTGATCCAAATTTTGATGTTTAACAACTGACTTGTATTTATGATGGTTACTGTGTTCTGGGCTCATGCAATTATCATTTACAACCTTCTGACAAGCAAAGTCAATAGGGAAGCCAGATTGACTTAGCAACTATGTTACTAACTTAACAACTGTAGTAATCAACAAATGTGGTAAGAAAGGTGGTAAAATGGTGCAAATCTCACTTAGCAATAGAAATTGAGCTCAATTGTAAGTCAAGGACTACCTTTACTTGAACTCATCTGCAATGTGGATGTGCTACACATCCTACAATAAACATTAAGATGAAATATGTTCATTCTTTTTCATAGCAAATATGTATAATAAATCTTGTTATCCAAGGCTGAAAAATGGAAAGGTCAAATTATAAACACCTAGTAAATGACACCTGACAAATTTAATTGCTTGTATTTCAAAAGTAGCCAGTATTTATATACTCAAAGGTCAAAAGTTTTTGACTTTCTCATAGCAAACTTCACAAGGCCAGCAAGAATTTTGAAGAGGAAGGGAGGGAAGAAAAGAGAGAAGGAAGAAGGCAAGAGGAAAGAATAGGGGAGGAGAGATGGAAACAAGGAAGATTTTTGATGCTCTTTACCAGCTTTCCAAAATAAAGCTCAATGGGGAAACTGGCAGGAAATTGGAAGTTGTTTTCACACCTACTGCTTTTTTGCCCCTCCATGGTTATTCTATTTTTCTTGTTTAAATAACACAGAGGAAGCACGTCTGAATCAATTATCCAACTGGGTATTGGTTGTCTAATAAGCTTCTAAACATAAACTTCAGCCATATCAGATCATATACAAGTAATCTCCAGTTCCCAAATAGCAACTATTCATACAAAGGACAATGAAAAAGTAGGTTTAGAATGGCTATTGCAGCATTGTTATGGTTACATGATCCTAATTTGGGCACAACTGACATAAACAACTCATAATGTCTTATGGTCATGAGCCTCATAGCTGATTTCTGACAAGAAACCATGGGCATGTGGTGTTACATATTGAGTGCAGCAGAATTGACATTCCCAGTGCAGTTACGAGATGTTTCATTTAATGACATCACTTAGCAATAGACATCAATTCCAATTTTAGTTGTTAAGTGAGGACTATCTCTAATCAAACCTCTAGCAAAAGAGTTCATTAGCAAAAATATATCCAACTTATTGTCAAGTATTAATTTCATTTGTTAAAATTTCTACCCAGTATTTTTTCTAGTATGAGTATATAATGAATAGGAAGTAGCAGGTGAAGTTTTGATTATACATGTAACTACAGCATCGAGAATTCTATTTGTCCAAAATTGGAAATTAAATAAGCTACCAACAGACGAAGAGATAATAAAAAAGATGTTAGATTGTGCAGAGATGAATAGGTTGACAATGAAAATAAAGGATAAAGAGGAATCGGAGTACTTCAAGGCTAGAAAAGAAAGTAGGGAGAAGATNAAGTTATTGAATCCTGCTGAATCATTACTTGTGTGTGCTTTCTGAATGTGATTGCTGCTGCAAACTCTTGACATGTTCTTGAAGCAATAGTGAACAACCAGGTCAGCTTCAGCACATCATTGCAGCCTGATTCAGCATGGGTAACTGATTGGTGGGTGGATTGGCCTCCTAGAATACCCCCAATCAGCTGTTCCAGGTTGCAGATTGCCTCAGACCATCACCTCCTCCGTGCCTCACGTTTGGTGTAGAAGACGCACCAAAATGTTCACCCTCTTTTTTTTGGGGGGGGGGATGTGTCTTATACTCCGAAAAATATAGTAGTTTATTTATTTTTATTTATTTAGTTTGTCACTCATGTACAAGTTCTAATGCCACCTCACTTCTGTTTTCTTTGAGAAGTGATGCATGCTGTATAACCAGATATATAAATGCAATTTGGGTTACGACATTACACAGTATCTTTAGATCTTTTGTTTATTTTCCAAGAGCAAGGTCCACCTGTGCCATATTTAAGCATATATATATAGAGAGAGACTATATCCTATTCCTTTAGTGAATCACTGGCTTAAATCCTAGCAAACATCATTAGGTTTTTCAAACTTAATATGAAAGCATTCCCATCCTGAAAGGGTGCCTTTGAGGGCATTCCCCACAGAATATTAGAAGAGGGTTACAGGTAAGTCGAGGAGTACTTTATTTGGCGATTGTTTTGCCCACTCAGTGATTTTGTTCCCAAGCTACCACATTTCCATAGAGAGTGAGAAACATACATTCTTAACTTACTCTTGAATTTCCATTCTCCTTAGTTTGGTCTTAACCCCAGTCAGAGTCAGTCCAAAGCCAGATACTGATAGATGGACCCATTGAACAATAGCTTGATTAGAAGCATCTTTCAATGTTTTTAGAAAAGACCATATCTCCAGAAAGGAAGATGTCTTCTGAACCACACATAGGCCTTTCTGAAGCTACCTGACTACCTTCACTTGAACAGAAAGGGAAAAATTATGAATAAATAGTCAACTTACTGAGAAATTCTGAGAAAAAGGATGGCATTCCTTCTTCATCTTTAGACCGTGGGATTTCTTTGGAAGCATTACATTTAGTGGTGCTCTGTTACTATTAGAGGTCCTCTGTGAACAGATTTTCTAATACATAAAATCACTTGAATTGTATATTTAGTCAAAATGATGGCACTGCAAGTCTGGGTACTTTTATAGGAAATGAATTACTTAAATCTTTCTACTGTAGGTTTTGTAGCTTTGTTGCAATTTGCCTTCAATGAATATTAGAGAAATGTAATTTTGTTTTTATTGCAGTTTTTCAAGTGCTTCTTATAGGGTTGACAGTGTCCTACTCTTTGCTCCAGTTGCTCAGAAAGTGGCATTAGGCAATATTATCTTGGGAGAGCCTAAAGGTACTTTTCAAAAGGCAACTGGACTTTAGATTTTCTTTCTTTTTTTAAATAGTCTTTATTGGTTATACATTTTTTTAATAAGACGTACAAATACAGCTTTAAACATACAAACCTTCCCCTCCCCCCCGGTGACAGTCGTTCACAGCCCAACATTTTTTTTCTTCCTCATTGTTTAGTCTCTGTTAGGGTCTGGATGGGGGTTAACAAGCTTGCACTCAATCCAGACAAGATCGAGTGGCTAGTGTGTTTTCCTCCCAACAATTGGCCAAGTTTTCCATCTCTCAGGCTGGGGGGTCAAATTGTACACCCCTCAGACAGGGTCTGCAATTTGGGACCCATAGCTGACTTTAGAACACCATTTGTCAGCTGTGACCAGGGGGGCATTTGCCCAGGTTTGCCTGGTGCACCAATTGCGTCCCTACCTGAACCGGGAAGCCCTCACATCAGTCACTTGTGCCCTGTGACCTCAGGACTGGACTACTGCAATG